CTCTTTGGTTGTGGGACCGACCCTACGGGAGAGGATAGTCGCCGATAAACCAAATGACCGTTTCTTATGCCATATGAAGGAGTTGTCAACAGCTGGTAGAGTTGGTGGATTCGCAGTCGCATCCGATGGAGCCTTGGTCTTCGAGGGTAGACTTTGTGTTTCGAGGGTGTGGGAGCTGCGGAGAGAGATTTTGAGGGAGGCCCATAGTGCCCCGTACACCATCCATCCTGGTAGCACGAAGATGTATCAGGACCTGAGGAAGTCCTTCTGGTGGTGAGGCATGAAGAGGCAGGTAGCGAAGTTCGTGGATGGGTGCCTGGTGTGTCAACAAGTGAAGGCTGAACGCCAGAAACCGAGGGGGTTGTTGCAGCCCCTGGAGGTTCCCCAGTGGAAGTGGGATTGCATCACCATGGATTTCTTGGTTGGACTGCCGAGATCGAGGAGCGGGTACGATTCGATTTGGGTGATAGTGGATCGCCTTACGAAGTCTGCCCATTTTCTACCTATCCGGACGACCATGAAGGCGAGTGATTACGCCGAATTGTTCGTCAAGGACATTGTTAAGCTTCATGGAGTGCCCGTGGAGACTGTTTCAGATCGAGATGCCAAGTTCACATCCCAGTTCTCGAGGACATTGCACCGAGCCATGGGGACGAGGCTGGAGTTCAGTACAACCTTTCACCCCCAGAAGGATGGTCATTCGGAGCGTGTGATCCAGTACTTGGAGGATATCTTGAGGGCTGTGGTCTTGGACCAAAGCCTGACTTGGGAGTATGCCCTTCCGCTAGTCGAGCTGACCTACAACAACAGCTATCACTCTTCGATCAAGATGGTCCCATACGAGGCATTATACGGACGTAAGGTCCGGACCCCTCTGTATTAGGATGAGGTTGGAGATAGGAGGATTACAAGACCGGATTTTGTTCAGAGTACTGCTGCGACCGTTGAGGAGATCCGGAAGGCCATAAGGTCTGCCCAGGAGTGGCAGAAAGTCTATGCCGACCGAGAGAGGCATGAGCATGAGTATGCGGTGGGAAATCATGTTCTTCTGAAGGTTTCACCCATGCGAGGTGTGATTCGCTTCAGGAAGAAGAGGAAGCTTAAACCTCGCTATATTGGGCCATTCGAGATCCTCGACCGAGTCGAAAACTTAGCGTATCGATTGGCTTTACCACCAGACTTGTCGGGTGTGCCTGACGTGTTCCATGTCTCGATGCTTCGGAAGTATGTGCATAATCCTGATCATGTGGTGGACTTCGGCGAACTGCAGGTCGACCGAGACCTTACCTATGAGGAGGTGCCGGTAGCTATTCTGGATTGAAAGGTCCATCAGCTGAGGAACCGGACAGTGAGCTTGGTGAAGGTGCTGTGGAGCCGACACGATGAGACCGAGGCGACTTGGGAGAGGGAGGACGGTATTAGGAGGCGTTATCCGAACTTTGAGTTCTGAGCTCTCCTTTGTATTTTATCGCTTTCTAGTTTTGTTTTCGAATTCTGAGGTCGGAATTCTTTGTAAGGTGGGTAGACTGTAACGCCCCGTTCATTCATGAATAGATTGGATTATTATTATTATTTTTATTATTACTATTATTATCAATATTGTTATTGTTATCATGATTGTTGCCATTATTATTAATTGTTATTTGTCTAATTGCCTAAATAAATTAATGTG